TGAAACACTTGGTGTAAAATAGCCATAAAGAAATGTTCAATTATACTGAGAAATATTAGTGTAGTAGTAGTCTTGTTACACTGGGAGTTTGAGATAATTTACCGATCAGTTGAATTTTGACGTTCATCTGGTTTCATATAATTTTACTTGCAATATGAGTCAGGCCTTGGCTACGTTTTTGTATATCTCACAATTATAAATGACGGTGTAAAGGTTATCTCACAATTATAAATGATGGTGTAAAGGTTATCTCACAATTATAAATGACGGTGTAATGGTTATCTCACAATTATAAATGACGGTGTAAAGGTTATCTCACAATTATAAATGATGGTGTAAAGGTTATCTCACAATTATAAATGACGGTGTAAAGGTTATCTCACAATTATAAATGACGGTGTAAAGGTTATCTCACAATTATAAATGATGGTGTAAAGGTTATCTCACAATTATAAATGACGGTGTAAAGGTTATCTCACAATTATAAATGACGGTGTAAAGGTTATCTCACAATTATAAATGACGGTGTAAAGGTAGTTAAACTTTGCTCTGGAAATGGGCTTTTCAAGTTAAGATTACACATTCATTACTTAATGTCAAATGGGACTTTTGGTTTATACGTATTCGTAGTGTGATGAATTACTAACTAAAGCTTTGCACCCTCAGCTTTCTATATATTGTGAAACCTCATAAAATTTCTGGAAGTACCTTCATTACATGAGAATGTGATGTGATGCAAGTGTATTTTTACTTACTCTGAGCATGTACTCCAGGGAGATGTCACAATAGTTTTCTTCTTAAGTTCAGCACATTTAATAAGGACTCATTCTGTTTGACAAATTTTCTTTATCCTTTGTGACAGGTAAACATACTCGCACTGGCAGCGAGTCTACACTTCTCGACGAAGATAGCTCATCATTTGGAGGAGGTGTTGGAGCAGGTGAGATAAGTTTATCACAGTCTTACAAGATTTTTAAATTGGTTCTATTTATAAAGACCCAGATATATTTATAATGCATCTACCTCACACTTACGAGTTTCTATTTTAGGGTTAAATTTTCTTTCTTATCCAGCTGTTTCCTTCTACTAGAAAGGCCATAGTTTTTATGCCAAGTACAGTGACAACAAATATTATATTTAGTACAGTGATAATATCTACCAGTTCTTATATGGATACCTTTTTTCTACATTAGTTAGTTTATAGTTTAAATTGAAGGCATGCCATTCTGAATGATTCATAAGTGGTTAAAAATAAATTTGAAAACAAAAGTTTTCTCCACGCTGCCTAAAGATTAACAATGAAGAATGTTTGTTTAGTTTATTTGTTTCTTATTGCTTGGAGATGAAAAATAAATGACTTAGAAAGGCTTAATTAGCTTACAATTACTAATAAGTATTTATTAGGGAAAGATTGGCCATTTAAGTTAGAGTAGTAAGTAATATATGTTCAACAAAAATAGTAGTTTTTGTTACTGATTATATCGGCACCTTGTTGTTGTAATATTAGTTCCAAGACTGTATTTCTTGAAGAATGTGATAGTAACACAAAATGTATTTCAGTTTGGTTTTCAGCTATATTTATAGATTGTTCCTATTGTTATTAGCTTTTCATTTTAGACTCAAAATTCTTCATGGGCAATTTGTTGAAAGATATTTCATATAAAATCTGTTTTCATATAATGATAACATGTTTAAGTTGCTTGTGTGTAGTCATGCTTGAAAAAAAAGATAGACCAAATATTCTCAGCAAATCAATTCAGTAATATTCCTATTACATCTCCAGGCTTATCTGTAAGTGATAATACTTTTTATTAACCACAATTTTGTTAATGTTTTGATGGTTATAATTTATGCCTGATGATATCAAACCATTCCAAAATCTATAACGTCTGTTCAACCTGATGGCCACTGTGTCGTGATACAGTTTATATGTTAATGGATGGAAATCTTAACTTTCTTCATATAGTACACCAGCTGGTTCATAACTCGGCAGCATTATTCCTGTCCCCAGTTCCACCAGTTTTGGTAACTCCGATAAGTGAACACTCGATGCTAAAACTTCCCTCTCGACATTTACCAAAACGGGACAGTAGCACTTCGTTGATCTCTGCTGGTCAGCTTTCAGCTTTCTTGACACCTGATGGTTCGGTTGCTAATGGTGAATATACTTTCTATTGGTGTTTTCATAAGAGATAGAAATTTATTGCAGTGGTATACTTTAAATTTAAAAAAATCTGTTCCTTTTATCAGTTTTTTATGTTAGCTTCTGAAGATAAAACTTTGTTTTTTAATGCGACCCAGCAAATGCTACAATAACACATATCACTGAATACTTTCCTTTTTATAATCTGTAAGTTTTAGTTTAAGTATCAAATGATCATATTCTTTTTCTATGCTGTATGGTAAAAATATGGCTGACATGGGCTTTGCACCTCTCATTTCTTGATGAAAATTTTATCATTATTTTTCTCCTTAGGCCTGGTGGTTCGTGTGCTTAACTTGTAATCTGCACGACACGGGTTTGAATCTTGAACACACTCTCTTAGCCAATGAAAGAGCTATAATGTGATGATTAATCCACTTTTCATTGCTAAAGGGTAGCTCAAGAGTTGGTGGTGGGTGGTATTGACTGTCTGCCTTCCCCCATTTCTGTCTACAATTTCTAAATTAAGGATGATTAGTACAGACAGCTTTCAAGTAGCTTTGTGCAAAATCCAACAAACAAACAAAACTTTTTTTTTCCTTAAAAATAACATTTTTCTTATGTCTTCTTCCATTTGCATTAAAATATTTGTTAAAGAAGTTCCCAAAATTTTAAAAAGTATTTGTTCTTGTTCACAAAAATCCAGGACCTAACATTGTTAAAACTTGGTTATTTTTCCAATCTGTTCAGATAATTGTTGTAAAATTGATTTTTTTCTGATAGTAGCATATTTTTATAAATAATGAACATTCATAATCTTCACTCCATATATTTTCTGGTTCATTCAAGGATTTGTAAAATATCATGTCCTTATTTGCTTGTTATATCCGATGTTCACAAGTTTCGTTTTAAAACTAACTAGATGCATTTATTTAGTTTAATTCATTTATCTCAAAAATTTCTTTGGAAAAAAAGAATAACAAAGCCTTTTAAGAGACTGTTTATCAAAACCCTAGTATTAAACGTTCCTTCTATACTTTTTTCTGGTTATTTATTAACCTTTTCTTGGCTGGTAAGCATCTTTTAGGTGTCAAATGCACACCTGCAAATCAAATTTCAAAATTTAAGTAGTAATTCTAACTCTGTTTGAACAACTTTTCACACAAAAATGTTGTAAAATTGATATTGATACAAAGAAAAATTGGGTTTCTGCATAACTTCGAGTAGTCTTGTGATACTCTCAATTGCAGTGATTTCTCTTCAGAGTAATCAGATAGAACCTGCTAAGTAACAGGAGGTTAGACTGACAAGGCTATACTAAGAAAGAGACTTGTCACAATTTATAGCACTATGAAAATAATCTCCATTGATTCACTAAAACAATCATACACAATGAGTGGGACAAAGGATGGTCTTTACTGGAAACACCAAAGATGTCCATGAAGATTATGTTCCAGACTGAGCGAACACCTCATTATATACATAAAACAATAATGCTTTTCTTTTAAAAGCTCAATGGCTTCCCATGTCACTGTTGGTCATCAAAAAATAAGGAAGGTTGTATCCTTAAAGTATTATTTGACCCGTTAGTGGAAAAGATTGCTGCTACTTTTACATTATATGTTTCACTTTACAGAAAGCTTTTTGAGGAGATAGCACATGTGATGCCCTCGGTGAATGACCCAATTCAATATGTATGAGGGTGAAAGGAACTTAGCTACTTTTTGAGGAGATGGCACATGTAATGCCCTCTGCGAATGACCCAATTCAATATATATCAGGGTGAAAGGAACTTAGCTACTTCCTTGACCATTGTTGTGTTAAACTACATACAATACATGAACAAAAATATTGTATGTATACAATCTGCAGTTTTACCTGTAAACAATGCACTTATTGATTTGTTTACATGATGTCTGCTAATCCCAGTGCATAGGTTTATTTTTATTAAGAAAGTACCATCCCTTGGGAATATAATTATCAGTGTTTTGTTTCACATGTTATTTTCCTTCTCTTTCTCTAAATTTTATTAGTAGAGTCTCTCAGTCCCATCCTTTTATGACCTCATAGCAAGTGATTGAACAACTACTATTACAAAAAGCTACAGGCAACCTTTAAATACCATTAGATATAGAAAATAATAAACTGTTTATGTCAATGTAGAGTGAATAAAGTTATGTGAGAACTAATCTATGGTTTTATGAGAAAGTGACAAGACCTGTAGCTATTGCCAAGAAGAACAATGGAATTTTGTGGGAAGTTTAGTAGACTTAGGAACAATACACAGATCTGAATATTCTTTAAAGGTTTCTTGTTATATTTGTTTGAAAACACAGTATTTTTAATCTAGGATAAGACATCAACTAAGCCTTATTTGGTTTAGAGAATACAGTAAACAACAGCAACATATTCTTTTGACTCAACTTCTTATTTTTAAACATTATTGTTAAGTTTATTATATTCAAGGAATTCATAATTATTTATAATAGAATATATCTGTTCCTCTGGTCGGATAGCAGCAAGTTTATTGACTTACAATGCTAAAAATCTTGGGTTTGGTTCCCTGCATTGGACACAGCAGAAAGCCAAATGTAGCTTTGCTCTAAAACAAACAGACAATAACTTATAAAAAAATATATCGATTAGATATAAATTGATTTTGACCAAGAATATTCCTAGCAGAAATATTGTTACCCCATCTGACTTATTTCCATTATCAAAGTTCAGGTCCTAGGCCACTGATATATCTGTCGGTTTCTGTGGGATTTTTTACAGTTTATAGCAGGAAGTATTGACTGCTGCAGTTGGCAAAATAAAGTTTCAGAATAAATAAGTTAATGAATATCAGTCAAGTTGAAACTTATTGGATATATAAAACGGGACTTTCTGATCAACATTAAAAAAAAATCCTAATACGAAAGGAAATATTATAAATAATTTTCAACACAGTTATATCTTACCAAAATTTTGGAAATTTTGCAACATTAGTAATCATAGAAAAATTGAATTATATGAATTTACTCAAGCCAAAACTAAATATTATTTAGGTATTTTTTTTAAAGTTTAATGCAATTTGGTTAAGTCATGAAAGGGATAATGTGGTCACAAATTAATTTGTGTTTTTCTCCAAAGCCATTCCACAATGCTTTTTGGAAAGTTCAGAGAGCTAAAACTGCCTGCTAATGACATAATGTACATTGGTAACAGCAGTTCGCTTTTCTCTGTCATACCAAGTTATCGTGGTACTATAAATCATTACAAATTATAAAGGCTTTTTTTGTTCTTGATAAAGAAGATGCTACATTTAATCATAATTTCTGTTTAGGCACATTTTGTTACTATATCAAGAGTAAAATTAAAAAAAAAAGACATTTTCTGCCACAATAAAAGGTAAAACCTTTATTATAGGTTACAGCCAACTAGTTTCGGTAACAGTGTTTTTACTCTTAATCAGTTCAAGCTGTTGCATTGTTAATTGGAACAATAAGATATTGTTATTCTTAATACACCCTTCATTTTCAGTCTCTTTTTTTTTCTATTATAAAGATTCTGTGTGAACCTCTTTTTTACAACAGAATATATAGACACTCACACACATTTCGTTTTGTATAAAATTTTAGAAATGTTTATGTGATACTTGTCTTCAACTTAAAAGTGTTATTTATAGTCTAGAAATTGTCCAATTCATTTCATTGTGTTTTTGTACTTTTTTCGTCACAGTATACGCTGCTATAATTTTATCAGGATCGGTGATAATATATGGAAGATTGCCGACATTTTTTTTATTGCTCAGTCTATTCTATAGGTGATAAATCACGAATACTAAGTCGAACTTGCTCTTTGACAAGCATGAAACGAAGTCTGACTTTGCCTCACTTTTTATTTTCAGCTTTAAATTTTTTTTCTAACAGATGGCCAATTCACGAATAGGTGTACATGATAGAATCTCTCTCTCTCTTTTTTTTTTATAAGGCTAAAAATTATATCACTTAACTCATTTTATAGTACTGTTTACTCTTAATTGTAAAGGACGTTTGGTATTTTCCCATCAGGTACTGTTACAAGCTTGGGCCTTCCCTCGTATTCTCGAACATGTTTTACTTCAGAGCGACCATCTACACCAGCAGTAACAAGTACATCAAAATTAATGACATCCGTTTCAACCAATGCACTTCTAAAAAATGGAAGTTCCTTGGTTAGTGGTGGGCAGTCATCATGTCAGTTCTGCCTCCCTGCAGCTAAAAATGAAAATTTAGAAGAATGTCGACGAAGTAAAAGCCCCATATTGCATTCTTCGATATCTGCACCGAAATTATCAGAAAAAAAAGACCTAACTTTACCATTGGGGATAGGTATGTATGTTTGGTGTAAAAACCACATCTGACTGTACCATTGGGGATAGGTATGTATGTTTGGTGTAAAAACCACATCTGACTGTACCATTGGGGATAGGTATGTATGTTTGGTATAAAACCACATCTGACTGTACCATTGGGGATAGGTATGTATGTTTGGTGTAAAACCACATCTGACCTGTACCATTGGGGATAGGTATGTATGTTTAGTATAAAACCACATCTGACTGTACCATTGGGGATAGGTATGTATGTTTGGTGTAAAACCACATCTGACTGTACCATTGGAGATAGGTATGTATGTTTGGTATAAAACCACATCTGACTTTACCATTGGAGATAGGTATGTATGTTTTGTGTAAAACCACATCTGACTTTACCATTGGGGATAGGTATGTATGTTTGGTATAAAACCACATCTGACTTTACCATTGGAGATAGGTATGTATGTTTATCTAAATGTTTTAATGTAAAATAACATAACTTCTTTAATGTGATATTATTTCCTCTTGTACTTTAAATTTTGTTAGTCTTGTAGCTGAATGTTGTGATGAGCTTTTATAGTTAAGAGTACTGCGTGTGTAGGCCTAGCAAATGATTCAGTACTGATAAGTATACACCTTGATTATATTACCAGAGATGAGCGTCATAGTAATTACTACATTTCATACTCATTACTTTATCCATGCGGTATCTTATCAGAAACATAAAGTGGGATCATAATAAGAAAAACATTATAAAAGACTATTTTAAGGATATATATGACAACTGTTAACTGCATGAGAAAGACCTCATCGTAATCAGTGGGGATCTTTGGTTCATCAAGTAATAGTGGATCGTTTCAAAAGTTGGATGATGGAATTATTAGTTGAAACTCTCGCATTTTTTCTTTCTCATGCAGTTAACAGTTGTCATTTGTTTCGCTGCTAGACCTCATCGTAATCAGTGGGGATCTTTGGTTCATCAAGTAATAGTGGATCATTTCAAAAGTTGGATGATGGAATTATTAGTTGAAAGTCTCGCATTTTTTTCTAGCAGCGAAACAAATCCGGATTTTCTCCTCGGGTTTGCGGTGAGTTTGTCTTTTGTTCTGGGTTACTCTGGTAATTCAATCACTCCTTATCAGTAACCATGGGCTAGACGAAAGTTAAAAAACAAGAATTGGGCTAAAATAAAAGCTGCATCAAGCTTTTTAATCTCCACTGTTTACCAGACATTAATTAAAAATCAATAAATCTTACACATGGTAATGTGCAGGGAAAAGTATTAAGGAAAGCGTAATTGTTGGGAATACCACCAATGTCTTCCACACCTCTGAAGAGTGGTAACATGTCTGGCATTGAAAGAGCAACAATAAAAACAAAATAAATGTGACTTCATTAAACGGGGATGCTGATGAAAATATCTTAACTGATTGGTTTGTTCTGAATTTTGTGCAAAGCTACAAGAGGGCTATCTGTACTAGCCATCCCTAATTTAGCAGCAATAGACTAGAGGGAAGGTAACTTATCAACTCCACCCACTGCCAGCGGCTACTCCTTTACCAATGAATAGTGGGATTAACAGTCACATTATAATGCCTCCATGGCTGAAAGGGCAAGCATGTTCGATGATGAGGATTCAAACCCATGACCCGCAGATTGCGAGTCATGCACTCTTAACCACCAGGTCATGTCAGCTCATCTTAACTGATAAAACTGAAGTTTATAATTCATTACCTATCAGTTTTGTTTTTCAGATATTTTATTTAAAATCCTCAATTTTAAACAGTTAAAAAATGTTTCTACTTTTCTACAATATCCCTCATTTGAGCCCAATAAAAATGCAAGATGTTTGATAGTAACAACCTTGTTTTAATTGTTGTTGAACAAATTTAGTGAAGTTCTTTGCCATTCTGTACGTTTCAAGTACACAACTATTATCCATGCTTGTAATTTATTCCTGACCCAAGGCAGAGAATGTGTAAAAATACATTTGTTTACCTTTACACATCTGTAGCTAACCTAGCCTCTTTAAGATAGAAATGTGTGTTTTGTAAAAAAACATTTCAAGACCATTAAAAGGTTTTGAAAATCCTTCATGCCAATATTTTTTTCTGCAACAAATCAGTGGTCGCTTGAAATCACGTATTAAGAATTTCTGTGAAACGAATTGATTATTCTTCTCTGTGTATAAAGTAAATGACAGAAAATAAATATGACATGTGCAAACATGAACAGATAGTTATTAATAAAGATGGGACAGTGAATTGATTTTAAACACTGTTCTGTGTATAAATATTGAAGTATAGCATTGATAGTACATGTGTAAGCGTTATTAAGAAAGTTTATAGTAGTTAGTAAGGGTTTTTTTCTCTTTAAAGCTGAATGAATGAAAAAGAAATAATTTTCAGTAAAATATTTCAACAGCTCTCAAGAAACATCATCACCACAGCCAATAGACAAACCAAAGAAATTAGTCTATAAAATAGTAAAAAGCTACAGCCAAGAGAACAATCCTTCACCGGCAGAATCCAGCTCATCTTCTCCGAAGCTTTCTCTGTCAGAATCCTATCTAGACAGTCCTGAACACAAGAAATCTTCAGATGCTACAAATAACAATGATATATGCACCATTGAAAGCAAAACCTCTAACCAGGGCTCGCTCGGAAGACGCAAAACAACGTCTATTATTTCTAACATTCGCACTAGTTTTCCAAATGCTATTCCAGATGAAGAAGAATCTTTAATGGTCAATACTTACTGCACTGCAGAAGATGAAGGAAACTATATTCAGGAACAGAGAAGAAAAACATCTTTGTTCCATGTTAAAGGGAAGAAAAAGAAAATGCTTTGATGGTTATAACCATTCAACGTCTCTTGTGAAGATTATTTGTGGTGGAAGAACGGACACAGAGAAATTCTGATTGCAACCAACATCGCTTGTGATGGTTCTTGCTCTAAGTGAGAGAAAGAAATATGAAGATGTTATATTCTTTCTGTATTAGTATCCAACACTTTAATGGTGCAAGTTAGAAAAAAAATTCTCCCCTATGTATATTGTCTTCAATAGTAAATGCTTAAAAGCATAATGGTGTAAATATATGTATATGTACATATACATATATATATACATATGTTATAATGTTGTACAATCTCATGACTATTTTTACAGTTTTACTTATTTACCTTCCACCGTTAATCACCGACAAACCCTTGTGTGTTATCAGTTAAATATATATAGTTATTAAGTTAATACTGTAAATATCGTTTTTTTGATGTGTGGCCTTTTGTATGTTGGAAGGCAATTAAAAAAACAATTTGTTTGTTGTGAAGTATCATTTTCTCTGCCATTTTTAAACGCAACAGAATATAAAAAATATATATATATTGTTAAAAATTACATGCTTGCCAAGCTTACAGTGTAATACACTTTATATTCCCAATAAAAACTATTCATCTGTTTATACCTACGTAGGTGATAATTTGAATGTTGGATGGTGTAATTAACAAATGATCCAGAATGAGTTATTCATCTAGTTTACACTTAACAAAAAAAAAAGATTCTTTTAGATTTTGTACAACATGTGGCTTAGGATTAAGAGGGATTAAAAGACTAGGTCCAAATGTTTAAGTTGGATGGCCAATTATATTTTCCAAAACTATATTAAACTAAGTACAATAATGAACTGATACAAAATAGTTAAGAATTGACTACTTTTCAACCCCCCCCCCCCCAAAAAAAAATTGGCATATATCTGCTGAAGCCTAATGTATGAATTTGGTCAAATGCAAAACAGTTGTGGTCAGCTAAAGTTGTTATTCTTACTTATATAGTTCATGATGACAAGGAACCCACTTGAAGCAAAAAATATATATACATGTATAGTAGAGTCAGCCGATATGAGTATTAAAAGCTTTTATTTAAAAACACAAAAAAAGTAACGTTTCAATCTCCTTATGTCATCATCAGGTTAAGAATGACCTAAGTAGGTCGATACGTTGTGATATAGTTTGTCACAACATGAAAAAAATTTAAAGGCTTAATTTTTTTTTAAAAAACTGTCCTTAAAAATATCGAATTTTGAAATTCAATAGCCTTCAATTCATTAATTCCATATGTATCTTACAGCTTGTTTACATCACGAAATGTTTTTATGTAACTACAAAAATAGATTTTAACACTCAAAATCTTCAGTTTTTGTTAGACGACATTTGACAAAAGTGGTCACATGATGTCGGTAACTTTTAAGGTTATTCATAAATCAACCTTTGACTTTATAAGCCTAAAAGTATGTCATTTTCAGGATATGGTGTAGAAGAGCCACGTATTAAGTTGGATGTCTAACAAACATTTTATCAAAATAACACAACAAGCACTTTCAAAATTTCACTAATAAGTTATAGTTTATCATTAAGAAAAAAAAGCCTATATGCATATCGATCCTTGAATCATGCTTAACCTTAATTAATTTTTTTCTCCTTTTTAATATTATAATGATGTATATTTTTATTATTTGCTCACAGAATGTTGCAGTGCTGAAAAACAATCAAGATTCTTCTGAGATAGAATTTAAAAACATTTCTTCATGGTGTAGCCAGCCCTAAAATTTAACATTTTTCTACAATATGGAAATTATGCCGTTTATTTTTGCCACAATAAAGTTTGTGAAGGCCTAGCAATTGCATAAAAGAGCACGGTCCAAGGTTTCAAGTGCACATTTATAATATGAAAATTTGAAATAGAAATTGGACGTTTCAGATTGTTTTCAAGCACCTTTTCTGTTACACAAAGATAGAACTTTATTCATTTTTGTCAACCATAAACTGAAATGTAACTAAAACTGTTTGGATTTGAATTTACGAAATACAAATTACTTTTCTCAAAAATCCTGTCTAATTATAATTAATTTTATAACACTGAAAAGCATTCGTGATGTCCAAACAAATTGACATTATATGTTCTGCAAATATATATATATATATATATATAATAAATAAAAAACTGCACACAAAAGTCTATGTAAAACCTTTTTCTATTTGAGGACCTCTGTGTTCCCATCCCAAGATTTCACGGATTTCTTTGTACAATTTTATCTTTTTAAGTACTTTTATATTACATAGTAAAACAATACACTTTAGTAGCTATGTTTTAAAACACATTTTTTTCAGCCTTCTTGCATACTAGCTTTAACCTCGCTGTGGACCAGTTCCGATTCATTGACCGGTGGTCGAGAACCATTGTATTAAATCGCATCTAACAAACTATGCTTAACATGTAGCAGTAACACATCTGATGAAACAATCATCAACTATTCTGACAATTATATAAAAAAGATGACATATAAATGTAGCAGCAAAACTACATTTTATGAACAAGTTATTGTCAATACACAAAAATAAAGAATACTGGAGAGTCATGTAAATAAGGTAAAGAAATTATCAACAAGTTTGTGAAACTTTGTTCACATTTCTCCCCAAAAAAAAGGAAACGCGCACAGATAAGTCACTAAAACTGCCTTGTATGGATTAAAGGAAATAGGTTGGAGAAATAATTTCACTGACATATTAACGCACAATGTTTTCCTGAAGACATTTAGAATAATAAAAGGAGTAAGTGAAGAAACATGGATATTATAAAACACCTATTAAATACTCAAGGAACACAATTAATTATCACTTAATTGTGGGAAAGTGTTCAAGTGAAACCCAGGGTTCAAATAACACATTTCTGTAAAATTATTCACAATTTTATATTTATAGTTCATCATACTTAAAAAAAAACAACAGTATGAGCAATTTGAAAAAATAAACAAAAAAAGTAATAACATCCCTATTCTTTACTGTTCTTTAGATTACTACTAAAAATTAGGTTTTTTTTTAAATATATTATCACTATAATCATAGTTCACAGGGTATTCTTAAAAAACTATCACTTGCTCAATCAGTCCAGCCAAAATACATTACTTGTACACGATGCATATAATAAAGGAAACATTAATAAATATCACTGAAATTGTCATTAATTTTACACACTTTGGATACCAAAACTTCATGACTTTTATTATCCAACAATTGTAAAATGAAATGGAACATATATTGTTTTACGCTCTTGTGTTTCATGACTTCTAATACAACGAACCTTATGAAACTAAAGAGGGGTATAACCTACCTTATAAACGAAAGAGTAATCTGTGGTCAATAGTTTGGCTAAATGACTTCATCGGATATCGGTAAAGATCATTTGTAGAAATGTCAACTAAATATTCTATTTTTCCTTAAAGTAAATTTTTAACCACTTCTTTGTATTTTAATACCTCATCTGTCACTGCATTCGTTTATTGTTTATTTACGAATAAACGGAATTATAAAGTTGCATGTCTAACAATCTCAAGATTCAGTATAAAAAAATTCATTTGTAACAACATTTCTCTCAAAATTTATATTTTCGAGAGCACCAAAGATTTTATACACATTATAATTTGGGAACTGACATTTCAGTTATGATACAACTTCTAATATCGCACACAGTACCACACCACTAACATGACTCCAGCAGAAAAAGTACATTTAAAATTACTGACTCTGAAAACACAAAAACATAGGAACTTTACCCAGTAATTAAAAATTAATGAAAACAAAAAAATCTGTATTTATTACTTCTAAAAGCACACAACATACTTCAAAATTTAGAACATGGACATATGAAAATGATCTGTACTTATCATACAATTATGTCATAATCCAGTGGTTTATCTCTTATGAAAACAAATCATTAGTCACTTCACAACTTAGTGGTCAGGCACAAACTGTGACCACATAAGTAACTTGCACAAACTACACAGATTTATATCTTTTTTTTTTACACTTATCCGAGAAAGGTGTATTAACTAGACGAGAGAACTCGTAACAATTAATACATTTAAATACATATCTTTGGATTAAGGTCATTTCACTGTTAACGGACAAATAAAACATGAACAAACACATAAAGTGTTCAGAAGCAACATATTCAGCTTAGAAAAATGAAGCAAAACAAAATCGGAATTTCTGTTTCATCTAGACTCACATCATCCAGATGATTTAATCAGTTGAAGGTTATAGAGTACACCAGCACTGTCAACACTCACAAATATCGTAAAGTCTGGTGATGGATAGACGTAGCGTAAAAAGCTACCCCTCACTTCAAAAGTCTGCAATAGCGGTTGATTTTTACGTATGTCCCACCACTTAATGCTGTTGGCAACAGAAACAAGAAAGTTTGAATCGGGAGAGAAGGCCAAATCATTCACCCAGTTACTAGTGTGAGACCCTAATATCTTCAGTTGTTTTCCTTCTGCATCGAGGTTTGCAATCTAGAGTAGAACAAAGAAAAAAAACAATTTTCAGAATCAACACCAAATAAATGGGAGCTCCCTTTTCATTTTTTTAATAAGCATGTTTGTTTGTTTGGTTTTTGAATTTCGCGCACAGCTACACGAGTGTAAGACTAGAGAGAAGGCAGCTAGTAATCACCACCCACTACCAACTCTTGGGCTACTCTTTTACCAACGAATAGTGGGATTGACCGTCACATTATAACGCCCCCACGGCTGAAAGGGCGAGCATGTTCAGTGTGACGGGGATTCGAACCTGCGACCCTCAGATTGCAAGTCGAGTGCCTTAACCACCTGGCCATGCCGGGCCTAATAAGCATGTCAGATAAGCTTTCGTTCCAAGTTGATTTCTATGATCGTTAAGTTTCATCCATTCTATGGAATTAGGTAGATGAAATACAGACAAACATAAGCTTTCATTTTACTAACGGGAATTTAAAAAAATTTTCACAGTGAAAATGCAATGAAATAGTATTAACAGAGAAAACTAAGTAAATAAGAAAATATGTACATTATGAGTAAATATGTTTTCCAGATTATTAAAAATAATGTCAACCTTCAAACACTAAAGTATTATCTATACATACCACACTAATCTTCAGTCTAAATCATTGATATTTGTAACTATATTTCATAAATGTTAGTGGGGAACACTGTCTTATATAAATATTGTAAATGTTCTTAAAAATTAAAAACTGAGAGAGAGAAGGACCCAAATTTAACAGGCATCATAAGCGGCAGAACCAGGTGAGTATTGGGAGCAAGTGCCCCTCTACATTTTGAACAGGAAGCAAAGTGCCCCTTTAAGTGGACATAGACATGTATAATTATCAGGCAAAGCCAATAATTTGATTTTGAATTCGATGGTCACAGTTAACATAGCGAATACAGTGTTACCCCTAAATTCAAATTTGTTCCGCTATCTATGACAGACATGTTCTTCAGCAGATAAAGCTATGTATTTCTTATGAAGTGATTATCCTTGGATTTCTACAAATTTTGTGAATTTGTCTTATCTTTTTCCTTTGATTATTTTTCAACAACAACAAAAAAGTTTACAATATGGAATTCAGTTTCAGTATTTTTTTAATAAAAGTTATTTCAAAATCCGTTAATTTGCTATAGAGCTACTCAAGGGATGATATTACACACCTCAGCCAAGGAAATTTGAAGTTTATTACTGAAGCAGCCCGAGTGCTCATCCTATTATAAGTGGTTTACTCACCTGCACCACTCCATCATCATCGCCAAAAGCAAGGAATTTTTCATTGGGTGAAAAGCAACAGCTTCTTATGCAGGAATTACTTGTTATTGTATTCACAATTATTAACTTTCCATTGTCTTCTTTCCAAACCTGTTAAAGTTTAAACAAAATACATTTTCATATGTTTCTATAGTGTGTATTCTGTACTTCTCTTACTAGTAGTAGATGAAAAAATAAACTTAGAGATCACTTTAACACTGCCCTGCTAGAAGTATCGCAACATGTAGTTCGAGAGGATGTCTTACTGATCTTGATATAATAAAGTGCTTCTACTGGCCTGAATAATTTGCTGATTTTTTTTTTTGCAACTAAGATATGATAGATTACTGGTTTAGTATTCAGTATGTCTCTTTCAAGGCTTCAAACATTTGGCCAGATGGTGACTGACATTCTTAACAACTAAAACGTTTTTTTTTATAGACTAAAAGCACTTTTTTTGATCAAACTGAATATCTACGAGTCGTTATAGTATCAAGATCTTGACACCATTACAAATGGCCACAAACTGTGACTACTTCGTAAATGGATTTCCTTAGCACACTTCAATGCACCAAATTCACCTATTTTTCATGTCTCTTAATGCTCTAAGTACCCTTGCTGAGTATGATGAGTGCGACATATTATGTTAAATCAATGCCCGGATACTTTCAGTAGGGTCATGTATTGTTCAACTGTATAACCACGTCCTCTGAAAGGTTACAGAGAATAAACTGAATAACTATAATAAATAACAGCACACACACATATACTCTGTTCTAATTTTTAATCTTCAGACGAAACTGCTAAAAACAACATTTCAATATTATGACCAATTTTTAAACTTTAAAAAATGTGACCACGAAATGCCTGCATCTCACATTTGACTAAGTTTCAAAGTTAAACTAACATACTTTATGAAAATGTATCTGTTGAAAAGTTCATGCTCAATATTATGTTAGAAATAAATGAAAAAAATTACTTTTAGATTTAACAAATCCCCATTTATCAAATAATGTTTATCAAATCAGTATTTAATAAAAAAACAAATTTATGTGTAATGAATCTAAGTTTCAAATGGACAGCAACTACTTGTTGTAGAAACCTACAAATGTAGAGGACGACGCTTCGAAAGTCTTCCGCCTTTCGTCTTCATGTGTATATTAGATGCACTTGTGGGTTACATGGCATTTAGGATAAATAATGTATACACGCAGTAAAGAAGCAAATCTTACGTAGAAAAAATACTTCAAAATATAACGATGTCAAAGAATATTACTAGAAACTAATGTGATGCATAACTTGTGTAAAAAACGAAACGAAACGATTTAGTAAAATTCCAAAACTCACTAAAAAGGAATGTAGGCACATTAATAATAGCTGGAGACGGCTTAAATGGGTAATAAAGAAAAACTTTAATATAAGTTTAACATGACAGCAAATGTAGGCACATTAGCTTCAAATTATTATCTATCAATAAACAATGAGCTATCATAGGTGCGTGCTCATCCCGATATACCTAAAATAATCAATCCATATCTGCTTTGACAACCTGAAAATTTATGCTTTGTATAAAGTGGTAATTACATAATCCAGAATAACTTGTTGGAAATAGTTTTCGGGGATATCGAGTAAAAAATTCACAAAAAGCCTGAGAAAATGTAATATACATAACAAGTAAACAAATAATTCAAATTAACATAATTTTGTTTTCTCAGAGGAATACCAAAAATGGATAGCTAAGAAAACATGATTTTTTTTACAAAGATTTTTATGGTCAATCTTCTAAATTTGTTTCAAAACCAGCTGACCACACTATATCAGTAGCTTTTCTTTTATTTAGAATAATGTCATTTATATATATACATCTAAGAAGCTTTTAAATGGAAACAAATCATTATTTTGTTAAGAGATAAACTTAAAAGTTGCAATCCTCACTAATAAT